TAAAGGCTTGTTGTTACAGTTTTTTCAAACTAATTTATCTTGAGATTTACTGATTATATTTTTACGAAATAAAGATGAATGGGTTTTGTAACTATTCATCTACCAAAACAAATAAAAATAATTCCATCACTATTGTTCAATATTTCACATTGAATCATTTTCTACAAAAAATTGGTATACTACGCTTACCTCAGCTTGGGGCTAGTTGTAACCTCTATTAAGGTATAATTAGTTTTTTGTTAATTTTTTAATAAACTGACATATTTCATAGAACATTTCTTCTGTAAGATATTTTACTTTTACACAAGAAATAAATGTAATATGTGTACACATGTGCTCACATATTACAAATAATACAGTCTAGTTTAGGGGGCGACCATTAATCATGTGACGTTTTTAGGAGAAGAGGGGGGAAGGGGGTTGACAGAAAATTATGAAATATTACTAGGGGGAGGGAGAGGTACAGTGAGATATCACGAGTATTTATTTGTTTTCTAATTTTTTTTTAAATCCAAACATTTTCAAAAAAAACTTTTTTTTTTCGTAACTAAATATACACGTGATGTTTGTAGTATTCAAAAATAGTTAAAAGTCGATCACGTCTTCTTATTTGGATGCAAGCTTCTTCAGTGTTTTTATCCTTGGTAATTTTTCCTTGACTTTTCCTTTTGCTATATCATCATTTTTCTGTCTTTTTCTCCATATTTTCCTCATATTGGTTTTGTAAAAATTCTTTCTCAGTACACACTTCTTTCTTATACACCTTATTGTATTAGTTTTTCTTACAATTAGTACTGTCTTTGCCCACCAAGGCCATAATGGTCAAATCTTCGATGGCAAAAAGTTTTTTGTTGGTGATGCAACTCGAAGTTAGTTCAATGATCATTCAAACAATTTAGCAATCACAGACGCTTGACGCGGTATATTTTTTTTTTAAATCCAAACATTTTAATTCATTAGACAACACTCAACAATAAAACAAATACACAGAGTTGTGGATTCCATTAATAAAGCCTTTCACTTAAAAAAATATTGTTCAGCCCTTTTTCTTGACATCAGTTAGGCGTTTGATAAAGTTTGGCATAACGGCTTGTTGTACAAATTAAAGAAGAATTTACCATACAACTATTATCTCTTCCTAGAATCATATCTGTGTGAAAGAAGGTTCTTCATCAGTTTTAATGATGCTTCATCTAATGTTAAAAATATTTCTTTCGGAGTTCCCCAAGGTAGTGTTCTTGGTCCGCTGCTTTACATTATATATACTGCTGATATACCTACAAATGCAGAAACCATGATTGCTACCTTTGCAGATGATACGGGAAATAGCTCAACATGACAACCAATTGCTTGCCTCGAAAATTCTACAAAAACATGTAGATAAAGTAGAAAAGTGGATGAAAATACGGAGAATAAAAGTGAATAACTCAAAATCAGTTCACGTTACTTTTACCTTGTTAGATTAAATGTTGATTTGGTTCCTGTATCCAATGTTGTTAAATATCTGGGAATACATTTAGATAGAAGATTAACCTGGCATGAACATATTCTAAAGAAGCGTCAGCAGCTTGAATTAACACGTAGGCAACTTAATTGGTTAATGGGCTGGAAATTACAAGTCACAATAGAAAATAAACTCCTAATATACAAGACAATTATTAAACCAATATGGTCCTACGGCCTACAACTATGGGGTGTGGCCAGTACATCTAACATAACTATTCTACAAAGGTTCCAAAATAAAATTTTGAAAGAAATCGTGAACGCTACAAAATACGTTCCCAATTGGTTGATACATCAAGATCTCAGAATTCGAACTATAGAAGAAGAAATTATAGTCTAAGAGCCAGTGAACTATTTGACTAACCTGTTTTCTCAAAGCTAGAAATTTCTTTAATGATATTTTATTATCGGTACATTAAGAAAGTGCCGGTCTGGCAAGCATTTAGCGATTGCGTCATCATCCCTCGAGTTTTTGAAAATGTAAAAAAACTCATTTTTTTAACTTGCTTTCACAAGGCTCAAATTTTGAGGGAGTATTCTTGTAACTGTTCAGAAAGCATATGCAGAAAGCCAGACCATTCTGACGATTGCAAGGGTCTGCCAGACGAGTACATAATAGTCACGACGCGCAAGGGTGTGGGCGCATTGCCATACATAATTCACTAATACCCTTGTATTTGAATAATTTATACGCCATTTTGAAGGTCATTTTGAAAACATCCGATATACCAAACTTCAACTTTGTATCTCACCTTATGGCCGAGATATCATTGAAAATATGCCAAAGTGGCCCCTTTTTCAAATTCAATTTTTGGCGTAACCATAAAAGATATCGAAAAAAAAATTACGTGATTCTACTCATATTGGCTTAGGCCGCTTAATGTATAGTAATATATGCTAAATAATCCTTTATTATTAGCTAAAAAGGATAAAATAATTTTTCAATTAATGTTTTCGGATAGTGCGTTTTGTTTAATTACTTTATTATTAGCGTTATTTAAAAGCTTATTGTTTTCTCTTTTAGTACTGCAAATATGGTTTAAATCAAATTTGTGGAACACATTGAAAAATTGAAGAAACCAGAGTTTGTATACCCGCGCGTAACGCATCGCGCACTGCTATCCGATCGAACGAGTTCTATGCACAGTACACCACGAGCCGCGGGCTAATAGTAGCCCGCATAGAATTCGTTCTATCGGATAGCAGTGCGCTATGCGCGGGTATACAAACTCAGGTTTCTTCAATTTTTCAATGTGTTCCACAAATTTGATTTGAACAATTCTTGCAGTACTAAAAGAAAAAACAATAGGCTTCCGAATAACGCTAATAAGAAAGTAATTGAACAAAACGCACTATCCGAAAACATTAATTGAAAAATTATTTTATCCTTTTTAGCTAATAATAAAGGATTATTTAGCATATATTACTATACATTAAGCGGCCTAAGCCAATATGAGTAGAATCACGTAATTTTTTTTTCGATATCTTTTATGGTTACGCCAAAAATTGAATTTGAAAAAGGGGCCACTTTGGCATATTTTCAATGATATCTCGGCCATAAGGTGAGATACAAAGTTGAAGTTTGGTATATCGGATGTTTTCAAAATGACCTTCAAAATGGCGTATAAATTATTCAAATACAAGGGTATTAGTGAATTATGTATGGCAATGCGCCCACACCCTTGCGCGTCGTGACTATTATGTACTCGTCTGGCAGACCCTTGCAATCGTCAGAATGGTCTGGCTTTCTGCATATGCTTTCTGAACAGTTACAAGAATACTCCCTCAAAATTTGAGCCTTGTGAAAGCAAGTTAAAACTAGCTGTAAGTGGAATTCTGTCTTAAGGCAATTAGGGCATCGTGCCTTAAGGCAAATTGCTGGAACTTCCCGTACCAAAATTATTATTTTTTTAAAAACGATCAACATTTTTGAAAAAAAATTACTTTGAAAAAATAAGATTTTTGAGAAACTATAAATTGGACAAAAAATTACTTTTTTTGAAAAAAAATTTTTTTTTTAAAAAATAATTTTTTTTTTTAATTTTTTTTTTTTTGAAAAAATTTTTTTTTTCTTTATTTTGACATATTGTGGAAGATCTGAACTTTCTTTTCAAAGCAATCGTACTGCTTTAACTGCATAGAGACAAAGCGACGTAAGTCCCGCGTCGCTGTTTAACGCATAAGCATTGGTACGGAACCCATAGGAATGTTAACAAAATGTATACTTATTGTTAAAATCTCTATAAAATATCTGATAATTTGATGTGCATATGTCTAATGATCATTTTTGACCGCCAAATGGCTCATTTTTTTACTTTTTCCTCCATATCTCCGAAACCGCTAGACCTACCTTCATGAAAATTTTATCGATTCTTCATCTTGTCAATACAAGTGAAATGTTTTTTGAATTATTCAAATCGGACGCTCCGTTCTCTTAAAAACTAAGTTACCGTTTTCGGCACTTTTTGCCCCGTATCTTCGGAACGGCTAGACCTGCCTCCGCCAAAAACTAATCAGCACGTCTCCTTATCAATACGAATCGAATGTTTTTTGAATTATTCAAATCGGTTGATCCGTGTTCCCGAAATCGTCGACGAAAATTTGTATCCGCACATACATACACACACATACATACATACATACATACATACACACACACACACACACACACACACACATACATCCATTTTTTCTAAGGTATGCCAAAATGTTAAGAAACCTCTGAAACGTAAAGATATATAAAAATTTTCATTTTCGATTTTTTTGCGATTACTATAACTTACCCTACGGGAAGTTAAAAATGAGTTTTTTTACATTTTCAAAAACTCGAGGGATGATGACGCAATCGCTAAATGCTTGCCAGACCGGCACTTTCTTAATGTACCGATAATAAAATATCATTAAAGAAATTTCTAGCTTTGAGAAAACAGGTTAGTCAAATAGTTCACTGGCTCTTAGACTATTAGTCTTTACGGCACCAGATACAAAGCTCGTCTAAGTCGTCATCCAAACGTATTAGCGTCAGATCTGCTCAAGCCTTTACCACCAAAGCGTCTCAAAAAAAATCTGCAATGATTTACTACAAAATATAACATAACATCTATGAAGGCGCTATCGCAGGATAGCGATCCTTCTCACGCAGTCATATAATATATAACTGCAACAAATGTACTTTGTATAGCTTGTTATGAAAAATAAATCAAAAAAAAAGAAAAAAAAATTAAAAAAACTATTTTTCCCTCGTAACTAAATTCGCACCTGCATTTCGGACCTGCGCAATTCATGTGCAATCGAGACAAATTAATATTTTAGTATAGTTTAAGATCTTATTGAGAAACGACGGTTGCTACTCACCCTTGTTACAATAAGCCCCTGACTTCCTTATATAATAAAATATTTTATAATTCAATAGATATATTTTATTATATTCCTCACATTTTTTGCTGCAATTTAACACTTTTATTTAATTCGTTTAACACTTTTATTTAATTCGCTGTGATTCTCTACTTATAATTGTGTGAGCTTAATCTAACATTCCCTGTTTATCCATAAATTTAAGACGTGGCTTCAAAACACGTTTTAGGTTTGGATTTGAATATTTCCTAAGCATTGATTCCTTTCCAGTATCTGTTCCTTCTAGTTCATCCATTATGTCATCTGATTCCTCAAAGTTATCGTGCATCAAAATTGGTTTCAGACAAGTTGATGTATACAATGCTGCAATAAATAATAAGGGAATATTTATGTTATATTTATAATGGATATAAAATTGTAAATAAATTAGCAAAAACATTTTTTAACAGAGTCCATCGAGTAGTAGAAGTTCATCAACCTCGACCCGATTGATATCATGCATCATGATCAGTGCTGCATTAACCCATATACCCGTGAGGCCCGGGTCTAGGCGGCACAATTAGCGGGGGGGGGGCGGCAAATTTTTGAGAATGTAAAAATTTTAACCCCGAAAAATTGTTACGGCAATAAGTTTTAAGAATTTATCCCGGTCGGTTTTTATAAATTTACTGATAATTTTCTATGAAATAGAATGTTATTCGTTTTCTAATCAAAATTATTACTCGAGGGCGCTACATTGATATTTTTATTAATGCATCAAAAAATATAAATAAAAAAAGATAATTGAAAAAAAGTTTAAAATCAAAATTATCAAATTGATAAGCTTTTTTACATATAAAACTTCTTAAAAATTGTTCGATGGTTTCTTATTTTATTTTCGGTATTAAATAAAACCATGGCAATTTAACATAATGTATTAATTGTTATTAAGTGAGAGTTTAATCATTTCTCCGTTCGTATATAATTTTTTTTTTCAAAATAAATTTTATAGTCTAAAACTGAATCCTAATCTAAAATATCTGACATGTAAATTATATTACGATATAGTAATTCAAAAAAAATGAAATTGTCTCCACGTTTCTAAATCTTCTGAACATTTTGGCGTGCCTTAGGAAAAATGAATGTACGCACGTGTTTTCGCGGTTACAAATTTTTGTCGACGATTTTGAGACGGGTCATCCGATTTGAATGATTCAATTATCGGGAAGATGTGTTGATTAGTATATTGGTAAAGACAGGTTTACCCATTTCGGAATAAGAGGCAAAATGAAAAAAAATTACAATACTTTTTTTTAGAGATCCCCGTTCTCAATCTGTGTGAAAAAATCAAATTCAAAAATTTTTGCGATGGCAGGGACGCACGGCCAGCGTTTTTGGTGATCAAAAAAATAAAATTTGGTGGTTAAAAATTATCAATTGACATATGCACATAAAATTATCTATTTTATGATTGTTTTATAAAAATTGCCTAAGAAACATTTTCCATTTTAATAACTTCAAAGATTTATAGAAACTACGAATAATATAGATAAGATTCGAGAGCGAATGACAAATCATTGGCACTCGACTTGTATCTTATCGACTCTCATCTGCCGTAACTCACTTCAAAAACCTGTTGAATCTAATTGAAATTAGCAATACATCTTTTAAAACAATTAAATAACGTATACTTGAAAATTATATTAATTTCTCGTAAACTAACGAAAAATGCTCACAACCAAAAAAAATTAACAATGGTACAAAGTGCTTTTGTTATGGATTTTCAAACATTGCCATCACCCAACGGCAACGTCGTAACAATCGAAGTGATGACTTGTTATACATTATTTACCCTCGGACATCGAACATTGTTGTTAAACAAATCTTAACTTCATTTGTTTTTGAGATATCGGTGGCAGACCGTTTTACTCGTGCACCTTTAAACCCCGCTCTACACAATAAATAATATAAATATTATTACTTACCCATAAATTTACAAAGATCGAGTTCTTTCTCTAAATCCTTAAGCGTAGGTATGTATCCATCATATTGAAGTTGTTGCATAACATAAATTAAATTATCGTGATAATAACGAAGAAGTTCATCTCTGTTATTCCAAAATACATCTTCGTTACATGATCCATATATAAAATATAATAAATCAATTGCAGGAGAAGCGTAGAACATACATTGAAAGTCCAGCTAGAAAAAAATAGACTTTTGATGATTGCATTTTTACAATCTTCTATATATATAAAAATAAGTCGGGTTTTCCTTCCTGACGAAATAACTCCAGAACGTACGAACCGATTTCGACAATTTTGCATTCGTTGGAAAGGTCTCGGGCTCCGCAAGGTTTATGGCCGCATGGCATCGTGCTCTAATGCAAGTTGCTGGAACGTCACGCACCGTAATTAATAATTCGAGTAATGAAAATAATCAACAATTGTTTTAAATAATTTCAAATAGATTATCTACATATATATAAAAATAAGTCGGGTTTTCCTTCCTGACGATATAACTCCAGAACGCACAAACCGATTTCGACAATTTTGCATTTGTTGGAAAGGTCTCGGGCTCCGCAAGCTTTGTAGCTAAGAAAATTAGTTGTGCATGGCATCGTGCCATAATGCAAGCTGCTGGAACTTCACGCACCGTAATTAAAAGTTTGAGTAATGACATTAGTGAGAATTATCAGAATTAAGCTTGGTTAAGTCAACGAGCAATTCTTGCCGCAAAGAATAATGATGTACACGCACTGAATTTCACCATTCAATCAAAAATTGCTGGCGATTTGGTGACATGCCAATGATTCCGACTGGTCTTCCGTTTGACTTCAAACAATTGCAATTTCCAGTTTGCCTTGCGTTCGCAATAACAAGTCGCAAGGCCAATCGCTTAGTGTTTGCGGTATAAATTTGAAATAGATTATTTAGAAAATCATTGTTTTTCACATGGGCAGTTATACGTTGCCTGTTCACGAGTGGAAAACCATCCGCTTTGTTTGTGTTAACGTCAGACCAAAAAACAAAAAATGTGGCTTACCAAAGAGCACTTCAATGAAACGGATAATTTGCGGATTCACTTTCATTTACTTAGAGAAGTTCAACTAAAAAACACTTCATTTTTGTAATCGAAATAAATTCATTACTGTTGTATAATAAAATCAAATTTTTTCTTTTCAAACATAAAAAAAACAAAAAATTTCTTCATCTTTCTCACGAAACCATCTGGTGGCGAAACGGAGTTCGTCGGGTTTGGTAGTTCGTTTAGATATATATATATATATATATATATATATATATATATATATATATATATCAATTAAACCTGAATATGTCAAATAATTACTTTACACCATCACAAAATTTGAAATAATCATCTTCTAATTCAAATAATTTTGCCTATAATTTTCCAAAATTCATATTGTAACGACAATTGGCATTGTCGCCAAAGGGTTGCACAACTCTCAGTGCAAATGGCATTCCCCTACCCATCTCTACTAGGGTTCGTGCAAAATAAGGTCCAAGTCGAGGGATGAAAACAAGCATAAGTAAATGTAATATCTTCCGAGGAGGTCGGTCGGGTCCAGGCGCCAGCCCTTGGACTTGCTTTGTGTATAGTGGTGTGTGTGTTGTGCCAGGAGAGAAGAACCTGTTTCAACAAAGGTCAGATGTATTTGTTTATTAGCTATTCCTTACGTTTATTTTAGGCCGTCAGTCCGTTAATCCGACGTTACGTTAATCCGCTAGTAGTTAATAAAGACTTATCAGTACGTTAGAGTTTAGGCACAGGACATGACTGTAAATAGGTACAGTCATGCCCTCAGATCTGTAATGATAATTAGTTAAAATAAATAAGATAAAAGTACATTCTGTTTCATTCGTGTAGCTAGTGATGTTAGTTCCACAAGTAATTACAGGGTGTTTATAGAAGTCGGGTTGAGAAGTTGGAGTAACTCATTCGTAATGGGGATACAATACTAAGATATAATATTTGGCAGTCATTGTAATCTCCAAGAAGGGGGCATCAACCTCTAAATTGTCACAATATGTTATATTCTAATAGTCAACCGAAAAAAGATAATAAATGATCAGATCATTTCATTATTACTCACCAATATTACATCTTCAACTTGGCCTTCCGCATATTTGAACATCATATTGTTGACCCACAAATCTCCATGGTTAACAACACTGAACGGACAATCTGCTCTATACAATATTTTTAATCTGTCCATTACTTCAAATTTGATCTTATCCTGAAAAATAAAAAATGGAAATTATTGTTGAATAAGATATAAATATCCCTGAAATTAATCATAATGGCCCATGAAAATTAAAAAACGAATGTTCAGGGCTTTTACGGGTTTTTGATTTCGATTTTCGAATAAAAATCTATCAATAATGCACTAATTTAAATTTTCAATTAATTAGCTATCTAAAATATATTTTTTTGAGTTACTTACTAGTTTGTCTGCTATAGTCAAATAATCCTCACCCCATTGCCTTGCTTGTTCCGCTGTTGCTCCAATACATGCATTACAAAACTTTTCCATAGAATCATTTTTTGTACAGCTGATAAAAGATTCTGTAAACGGCTTGAATTTCAAAGAATTCTGAAATATAATAACATAGATTTTATGCTTGTATATATAATAAATAAAAATTTTAACTTCCCGAAGGAGAAGTTTATGTTTTCATCAGAAAATCCGATTCGCAAATTTTAGGTTTTCTCGACGTTTCAAGCCATTCTGAATCGAATGATTTTTTGCCGTAAATCGACGTTTTCTCAAAAACGGCTGGATCGATTTCAAAAATTTAAAAGCCATTCGATGTATCTCGATGAGGACTATCGTTTGTCAGTTTTATGCGAATTGATAAGCTTTTTTACATATAAAACGTCTTAAAAATTGTTCGACGATCGGCCGAGCTGTTCCTTTGAAATTTGGAAAAAGGTATTAAACTTTTCGACCACATTTAAACTCATACTACCGAATCGATTTAAAAAATCAAAAACTGTTCGAAAGATATTAGTTGGGAATGATACTGGTTAATTTTAGATGAAAATCTACCGAGCCGTTTTCTTGTAATTCGTTGTTGAAAGAAAAATTTGAGTTGATTTTTATGAAACTTTTTTTAATGATATATATCATGGTCTTATACAACTTATTGAAATATTACAACCTCGCGACAAGTAGTTTAATTTTAAAAAATTATCAAGGTTTGAGAAAATGAGTAGTTTTTTGACGTTTGTTAAAATTATTTTTTTTTATAACTCGTTTTATTTAGCAATCAGAAATACATAAATATTCCTAGTGCTTAAATGACAATGTTTAAGAGCGATGTCTAAGAAGAGCTCCAATGAGATCTTCTCAGTTTAACAATTACTATAATAATATTATATTAGACCTAATCTAAGACTAAGTCTAAAGGCCATTGTCTTTTCAATCTCCTTGTACCATAAGGTTTAGTAATTTCAACTATAGATGGGTTCGAATGTGAGTCCAGTTTGCGTTTGTATTTTTCCTTGAATTCTTGGAACGTTATAATTAAAATTAGACGATTTACTTGGTATAACGATAGAGTACTTGGTCTTAATAAACATACTAAACCAGATCATTAAAGTCATACGGAAACTGATTCAATTATAAAAATTATTGATTTTTATTGCTTTTAGAAAATACTCAGAGTTAACGTGTTCGTTCGCTTTGAATACTTTTAATCTCTCATAAATTAATTTATTTTTTCTTGATTAAGTCGATTCATTACACATATCGTAAAGTTCATGTAACTTACCCCAAGGCAAACTACCAATACCAACAAAAAAATGTTTGGTCATTTTTAAAACAAACTTTGAATGATGTTATTTGTAAGCATTTGTTTTCCAAATTATTTATATAAGTTATGTATAAATATAAATTACAAAAATTATACAATTACATATAATATATGTAATTGTATAATTGTATTGTATTGTATAAATGTAAATATAATTATCAATATAAATAAAAATTGTTTTAATTGCAATTAATATACTAGAAACAAGCACTACATATGATGGCTTTACTATACGATATATGATTTGATCTAGCATGACTCGACATTGTGCCTTGTCTATCATGCGGAATTAAACGAAATTATTTAAATGGCCCTGAACACTTATATAATACATTATAGATACACTCGTGCAAACTTCAAGCGGACGTCAACAGATCTCTATTTTATTTGTTTTTTTTCTTACATGTTTTTTGCCTAATTAATTCATACCAGCATATTTGAAAATAATATGACATTTTAAGTCGTACAATGATTGTGCAAATTATCAGATTGGTGGGAGTCGTATTTTCTTAATAACTTTCCGTATGGTAAGTGATGGTAATCGCAAAATAATCGAAAATGAAAATTTTTTCACAATCATTACATTTTAAGGTCTTCTGAACATTTTGGCATACCTTAGAATAAATTGATGTATGTATGTGTAAGTATTTGTGTGTATTTATGTGCGGATACAATTTTTTGTAGACAATTTTGGGAACCCGAATACATTTATTCAAAAAGCATTCCATTCAAAGTTAAATTCACTTCGTTTCAAAAATAAGGGTCAAAAAGCGCATAAATGGCAAACAAAAATCATATTGGCAAGCGCTACCTTCAGCTAAGATGAAATATGTGTTTAAATTTTAACTTTTAAGTAGTAAAACACTTCAAACGTCAGATAAGTGGTAGTTTATGATTAATTTTTGTTATCGATTTACTAGAGGGTATATAGTCGTGAATCGCGCTCTTCGTGTATTCGTCGTTTTTGGTCTACTAAAACGTTCTATCCTCATTTTGTGATTTTGGCATAACAATATAAACAAGTGAACATATAATATACTGGTGAACATATAAAGAAGCATAGATAAACAGATAGATCGGTAATCAGTTAGACAGATAAAAATATATAAATATAGGTAGGTTGACTGGCAGACTGGTAGAACATTAGACAGGTTGGCAGGTTGAAAAGTTGAGACGTCGACAGATTGATAGGTTGACAGGTTGAGAAATCGGTTGGTTATTCAGGTAAACAGATAGAAAAATAGACAGTTAATTGACTGGTGTAGGGGCTGTTTGCGGTAAATCGGTAGGAAGGTAATCAGGTAAACGGATGGAGAGATAGACAGATTGACAGGTAGATGGTTATATTCGTCGACAGGTTGATGAATAACTAGTTAAAAAGATATGAAGATAGAAATAAACATATAAGAGGTAAAGAAATAGCCAGGTGGTCAGGTAGACAGATAGAGAAGTAGACAAGCAGACGGGTATTTGGCCAGATACAAAGATAGACAGGTAGGCATATAGAAAGATGGACATATAAAGGTATACAAGCACAATACATAGAAAAAACCATAAGTGATGTAGAAAACAGGTGCACAAATACAAAGGTAGACATGTAGTTCACCTACATGTAGAGACATACAAGATTACACAGTTAGACAGTTAAACAAAAGGTAAACAAGTAAATAGATAGGCAAGTAGATCATATATTCAAATCAAATTAATATTAATTAAATTTGTTAGTAATTAATATTGATTAATTATGTTTCATATTGGGAAGTTAATACATCTTGCCTCAAGAGAAAATGCCACTTACAATGAGCTTTAAATTTCATTAATTAATGTTACCTAATATGCAGTATAGTTAGCATATACAAAAATTACATTTGAAAATTTACATAGATTGTTGTTTTATTCATGTAGAATATTTTTTTTATATTTTTATGTATCTTTATGTATTGGGTAACATCGGAAAAAGAAACCATGATATCAATAATTTATAATACTACTGATCAACACAATTCAACGTAATAATAGCGTTAGCTATAAACGCTAACCGCTAATTCTAATGGTACTAGATTTATATTTTTACGTTTTGCTATAAGCTCTTTTTATTAATTTATGGCAAGGTAAGCCTTTCATTTCAGTTGTGTCTGAAGATTTTGGCACACCTTAGAATGCGTGGATACAATTTTTTGTCAACGATTTTCGACGTACGGGTCAACCGATTTGAATAATTCAGAAAGCAATCGACTCCTGCGTATAGGGAGAGGTGCTGAATAGTTTTTGGCAAAGACAGGTCCATCCGTTTCGGCACAAAAAATGCAAAAAATAGGAATTGAGTTTTTAAGAGAAAAGAGCAGCCGATTTGATTGATTCAAAAACATTCAAATCGTAATGAAGAGGTGTCGTGGTGATAAAGTTTTGGTATAGACCGGAACGGTCCGGCCGTTCCTGAGATACAACGCTAAAAGTGCAAAAATTGAAGCTTTCGAGAGAACAAAGCATCCGATTGGAATGAATCAAAAAACATTTTGATTGTGTTGACAGTGTGACGAAACCAAAAACCAGTTTTTGAAATAAACAAAAAAAATATTTCAAAAGTTCAAAAAAAAAAATAATACTTTCCTCAAACTCTTTTTTTAAATATCGTAAATGATTGAAATATTAATTTTGATTCCGACTAATATATCAAAGCCCACTTCAAATAAATAATTAAAGTTTTGCTATTCTGTTTACATAATTCTTATAAATATTAGATAAAGTCCTTCATTTTAATTGCGTTAATTTATTTGTATATTTACTTTTTATTTAAGCATATATAAATGTCGTCGCTCAGTTTATAAACTCAATTTTATAATGCTCTATTTGCAAACATTTGCAATTTTTTTGAATATTTTATTACGGAGCAGAAAGTTCCTGCAACTTGCTTTAAGACACGTTACCATGCACCTCTAGTTATAACATAAAACGCAACCTATCATTGAAAACAATATTCTACGACAAACAAGCTAATAATATATGCTTACTTTTTCATATAAAATTTTTCCAGCAGCATGTAATCTTGCTATTTTTTTGAAAACCAACTTGCAATGATCTAAATCCATCCCCGTCTTCCTGTCAGCTAAAACATAACCAGATTCCTTTAGATCTTCGAGAATTATGCAAGCGGGAGTTTCATCCTTGTAGTGAAGTAATCTGAGGAGATTTTCTTTGATTTATTAAAATGATGATGGAATAACATTATTATAAATTAGAACCAATTATTACTCGATATAAATAATAATATATTGATAATAAATATTATATAATGTTATAAATTATTAACTTCCCGTAGGGTAGTTATAGTAATGGGCCAAAAATCGTAAATGAAAGTGAAAAACTCAAAAAACTTTTCGTCCACGTTTTTGGACGCACGGATCCAACGATTTGAATGGTTCAAAAAACATTCGATTCTTATTGATAGGGTAATGTGCTGATTAGTTTTTGGTAAAGGCAGGTCCAGCCATTACGGAGATACAGAGCAAAAAGTGCAGAAAATAAAAACCGAGTTTTTGAGATAACGGAACATCCGATTTGAATGATACAAAAAACATTCAATTTGTAATGATTGGGAGAAGTGGTGATTAGTTTTTGGCAAAGGCAGGTCCAGCCGTTTCAGAAACACCGAGATAAATGTGCAAAAAATGACAGTTTTTGAGAGAACAAAGCATCATATTTGAATTATTTCTGCTTGTAATGAAGAAATTATTGCTTTTGGTATTTTTTTAAATTAAATAACAATTTTTTTTTGAATATCAAGAAAAATTCATTTTTAACTTCCCGTAGGGTAAGTTATAGTAATCGCAAAAAAATCGAAAATGAAAATTTTTATATATCTTTACGTTTCAGAGGTTTCTTAACATTTTGGCATACCTTAGAAAAAATGGATGTATGTGTGTGTGTGTGTGTGTGTGTGTGTGTGTATGTATGTATGTATGTATGTATGTGTGTGTATGTATGTGCGGATACAAATTTTCGTCGACGATTTCGGGAACACGGATCAACCGATTTGAATAATTCAAAAAACATTCGATTCGTATTGATAAGGAGACGTGCTGATTAGTTTTTGGCGGAGGCAGGTCTAGCCGTTCCGAAGATACGGGGCAAAAAGTGCCGAAAACGGTAACTTAGTTTTTAAGAGAACGGAGCGTCCGATTTGAATAATTCAAAAACATTTCACTTGTATTGACAAGATGAAGAATCGATAAAATTTTCATGAAGGTAGGTCTAGCGGTTTCGGAGATATGGAGGAAAAAGTAAAAAAATGAGCCATTTGGCGGTCAAAAATGATCATTAGACATATGCACATCAAATTATCAGATATTTTATAGAGATTTTAACAATAAGTATACATTTTGTTAACATTCCTATGGGTTCCGTACCAATGCTTATGCGTTAAACAGCGACGCGGGACTTACGTCGCTTTGTCTCTATGCAGTTAAAGCAGTACGATTGCTTTGAAAAGAAAGTTCAGATCTTCCACAATATGTCAAAATAAAGAAAAAAAAAATTTTTTCAAAAAAAAAAAAATTAAAAAAAAAAATTATTTTTTAAAAAAAAAATTTTTTTTCAAAAAAAGTAATTTTTTGTCCAATTTATAGTTTCTCAAAAATCTTATTTTTTCAAAGTAATTTTTTTTCAAAAATGTTGATCGTTTTTAAAAAAATAATAATTTTGGTACGGGAAGTTCCAGCAATTTGCCTTAAGGCACGATGCCCTAATTGCCTTAAGACAGAATTCCACTTACAGCTAGTTAATTTTGTTCTAACTAATGTTCTAAATAAATAATAATATACATCAAATAAATAATTTTAATTCAGTTTATATAATTTTTATAGGTGTTAGACAATGTCCTTAATTTTTAATTCGATTGATTAAGTTTTGTTTATTTAATTTTCTGTAAACATATATAACTTACAGTCTTTATAATAATCTATTTGAAAACATTTAATATTCTTGGAATATTCCAATACGGTACGTGAAGTACCAGCAATAATTAGTATAAATTAAATATATTACATTGTATATAATTAACAAAATTATATACCTATAATTGATTAGACAAATTTAAATATCATTTTATGAATGTCTGTAATTTATAGTCAATGATATCTAGGAAAATTGAATTAATTTACTAATGCAATTATTCTTACTCAATTATATTTTACACAGAATGATAAGATAAGTAGACACCAGCTATGTTAATTATAATTAAATATAAGATAAAAATTATCTCAATTTGAAGCAAAAGTTTTGGATGATTGTTTTTGTTTATTTTAAGTAAGTATGCACACAATCGATATCTAAAGTCAAACAGTCGAGATATTTAAATTGTGAGATATTTCTATAACTTTGCATTTTATATTATAAATTAATTTATTTATCTGTTCTAAACACTCTATGCATTAAGTCATCTAATGATGATAATCAAAGATAAACTTAAAAAAATTCAAGTCGTTGTTTCCTAAAATTGTGGCAAATGTGTTAACTAAATATTCATTTTTTCATCTTTGAAGACGTGCATTTTGTAAATTGTTACTTCCTTATTTGAAGCTTCCATTTCAACGTTATTTATCAGTTCTAAATTTAGTTTTGTTTATGATCAATTTGTATGTAGTTTATATAATAGTAATTTATGTAGGGGAAAGTCCCCGAGTGGCGGACACCTACGGTTATTTATAAATAAATTAAAACATATTTTACGAAATGTTTATTAAATTATGACTTATGTTAGGTAACAAAGTTAGAAATCAAACTAAATTAAAAAACGTAATCTTTGCTAAACAATAATTAATACTATCAATCAAACTTTGGTAACAAAAAATATGATTTTACAAAGTGACACCTAGTACCGGACATTTCAAAATAACCAGCATTGAACACTCTGAATGTCTGCACATTCATGTTTGACAAATATTCTTAGATATTGCAAAAAAATCACTAATTATTCACCCTTTTGGCTGGGCCATACCGATGCCCTCAGTTGGAGCATTCATCATAAGATTTTCATTCTTTGACTAGGAAATACAAAAAATGTGGGTATGTAGTGACCGTTAGCCCTCATACAAAACAAAATTAAATAATTGGAATAAATTACGTAAATTCTCACAAGAAATATCAATATGTTTACTGTCCGGCACTAAAGGACGACTTAGTGTCCGGTGCTAAGGGACAGACAATTTCGTTCATTTGGTGGTACCTACCAAAATTGTTTAAAATATCTGATAATATTTTACCATAACAATCAAGTACTACTTTTATTTTTGAATGCCACTAAAATATAAATGCATAAATACACTAGAATTACTTCCATTGATATTTAGATGACGCCTTGTTTTTGCGCCTAAAACAACAACGGGTTGCTCCCGCCGTAGCCGTGTGCGTTACAGGTGAGTCTTGGCGCGTGATCCTGCACCTGTGCGCCCCCCGCGCCCCTGTCACTTGCATTTTGAAATAAAAAGATTTATACTCGCTTAAATAATACGCGTTAAATAGGTTGTCCGGCTTTGGGTGCTGTCTGGCGTTACGGGACTTCCCCCTAATTCATTTCTACAGTAATTCTTTCCGAGTAGAAAAAACAAAGCAAAATAATTAATCTAAATAATAATCATTCATGGACGCAACACAATATCTAATGTGAATTAAGTATAAAATCTGTTTAATCGTCTATATCCTAGTTCAATTGTAGTAAGCTACATAGATTTCATCGCATCGTTTGTTGGACTTAAATTTTTAATTATTTCTTTTTTTAAAAAAAAGAAGATTAGTTTTTTGCACTTTTTACGTACCCTGCACCTAATTCAACACCGACTCCTGCGCCCTTCAAGAAGTCGCAGACATCAGGTACAAATTTTGCTAGCGCCAGAGATTCTTTATCAAAAAATCCCATTTCATCTAACATCTCCTTCATTTTGCCATCTTCCGGGCAACATTTTACAATTACCGATTTCATTGCATTGTTGTTAAAATTCAGTTTCACTCGGTAAAGGGAACTAGTATAATTTTCGCCTTTTCCGACAGCTAAAGATGCTTCATAATTGGTAACTTGCGATTTCAATCCAAGGGCCTTTTCAAAGAACTCACAGGAAAAATATTTTGGTAATTGCTGATTGCCACTTGCCACCATTTTGAAACTATTGAGAATATAAAATATGTCATTAAACAATATAATTTGTTTACATTTTTTAATGATAATAATCAGAACATTAATTACATTCTATAGGTTGTTTTGATTAACATTAATTAAATATAATTATATATAGTGCAACTCGAGTGAGTAATTACTATTAGATAAAATTTATTAGATCAAGTTAATAGGATGATGATTAGTAGATTTCATTTTTATAAAGTATTTAATATATAGCTGATCATTCAGTTCATCATGCAGAGTTTTATCAGGTTTAGAGGAATTATTTGAGTACTAAATCAAAAAACTAATTAGTACATTAGGCTCATGCGTTATGTACATATAAAATGTACTTTTAAATGTAAGTAGGGAAGCTAGATGCTTGTTGTAACAGCTTTTTAAAAATTAATATATCTTGAAATCCATTGATTATATTTCTGTAAAATAAAGATGAATTGTATGGTACCTAGTTCCCTATAAAAACTGTTATATCTATAAGATTTTAATATTCAATCTACCGATCCTCAGACCTACTGAATACACGTTTAAAGTTTGGTAAGAATCAGTAAAGCTCTTTTGGAGGAGTACTGGAACAAACTTTGTGACACGAGAATTTTATATATATAAGATATATATGCGTGTAATGCTGCAAATCACAAAATTATTATAAAAAATATGAAAATTAAATTTCAGTTAATATTAAGTCAGTCATTACCTGTTAATCACAGTAATAATTACAAAAACTCGTGTCTTCTTCACACTCAAGTTTTATTAATTCGAAGAGATATTTAATGAAAACTTAAACAAAGGTATAGAAATCCAAATTATGATTATAGACACTAATTTGAAAAAAATATATATAGTTCAATTTTTTATACTTGTATTAATTAAACCTAAAGTTTTAGATCACACAATTCACACAATGTTCCCCAAACAATGCTATTTTTCAACAGAGATGAGATGCCTTTTGTCGTGTCTGATAAATACTTTTAAATTGGCTGCGAGAGATTTCATAATAAATCGTAATTGCTGAACAAATCATTACGGACTTATCTAGACTGGGGGCCAGTGATATTTCCAGATAAAGATAAATTGTAATATTAAAAATAATTAACTGAGTATTGAAAAAACTACTGGTGAATGGCGTCGTGCTTTAAGGCAGATTGTTGGAACTTTCCGTACCGTAATGAAATATTCGAGGAATATTAAATGTTTTCAAATAGATTATTTTTCAAATACTGTATTTTATATATGTTTACAGAAAACTAAATAAACAAAACTCAATGAATCGAACTTGAAAAGAAGAGCATTGTAAGAATTATATAAACTGAGTTGCAAAGTTAAAATTATTTATTTTTAGTATATTAGTGAGCTCTAGAACTTTAGCTAGATAAAACAATAAAATTCGATTTATTTTCGATATTCAGAAAAATTTTTTTTTGGAAATTAAAAAAAAATATTTTTTTTTTTAATTTCTCACAAGCAATCGTTTCGTCAACATAGAAAGCTTTTAAGTTTTGCAGCATAGAAACGGCTGAACCTGCCTTTGCCGAAAACTAATCACCACTTCTTCCCGTCATTACAAATTGAATGTTTTTTGGATCATTCAAATCGGATGCTCCGTTTTCTCAAATACTCGATTTCTATTTTCTACACTCTTGTCTACATGCGTCTGACGGTTGTGGACTGTGTTATTGCATTCTAGACAATATAATATTGCACATAGAATTGTCATGTATTCTGATTGCTATTGAAAATAAAATTAAACTAGCTGTAAGTGGAATTCTGTCTCAAGGCAATTAGGGCATCGTGCCTTAAGGCAAATTGCTGGAACTTCCCGTACCAAAAATTATTATTTTTTTAAAAACGATTAACATTTTTGAAAAAAATTTACTTAGAAAAAATTAGATTTTTGAGAAACTATAAATTTGACAAAAAATTACTTTTTTTTGAAAAAAAAAATTATTTGAATAAAAAAAATTTTTTTTGAAAGAAAAATTTTTTTTTGAAAACAAAAAAATTTTTTGCAAAAGAAATGTTTTCTTCATTTTGACATATTTTGGAAATTCTGAACTTTTTTTCATAGCAATCGTACTGTTTGAACTGCACAGAGTCGAAATGTCAAAGCGCGTAAGCGCCGCGCCGCCGTCTAACTCATAAGCATTGGTACGGAACCCATAGAAATGTAAAAAAAAAATTATACTTATTGTTAAAATCTCTATAAAATATCTGATAATTTGATGTGCATATGTCTAAAGATCATTTTTAACCGCCGAATAGCATTTTTTTTTTACTTTTTTCATTAGATCTCTGAAACCGCTAGACCTGCCTTTATGAAAATTAGATCAGTTCTTTATCTTGTCAATACAAGTAAAATGTTTTTTGAATTATTCAAATCGGACGCTCCGTTCTCTTAAAAACTGAATTACCGTTTTCGGCACTTTTTGCCCCGTATCTTCGGAACGGCTAGACCTGCCTTCGCCAAAATCTAATCAGCACGTCTCCTTATCAATACAAATCGAATGTTTTTTGAAATATTCAAATCGGTTGATTCGTGTTCCCGAAATCGTCGACGAAAATTTGTATCCGCACACACATACTTACACGCTCACACACACACACACATACATCCATTTTTTCTAAGATATGCCAAAATATTCAGAAACCTCTGAAACGTAAAGATATATTTTCGATTTTTTTGCGATTACTATAACTTGCCCTACGGGAAGTTAAAAAAACATAATTAAATTTGACAGATTAATATTTTTTAAATAACGCAGTCGTGTTTTGCCTTACTTTACTAAATCACAATACAAAAAAATTACTTATTCAAAAAATTATTTAGAAGTTTCATTGTGTCACAAATTCATATTTAGCATTGGATACGGAATATTTGCTTAAGTCAGTAGAACGTTTTGGGTCTGAAATTTTTACTGTGCTCTAATTTGTATGAAATTTTGAAATCAGGTTCATCTTACTCTCAAGTTCAAAAGTGAAAATAATTTAGACTCCTTTACCACTTCCCGGGGGGATTACATTCCTTTCAGTGGTGTAATTTTATTCTTTTAAAACAACGTCGGATATCGATAAAAGAACTAATTAAAAAAGAAAAATGTTTCATAATTCTTTTCGAGTTACTGGCTACTGAAAATTTGTTTCTTTTTGGCGTTCTTCTTCGTTCTTTGCAAACATCTCCAAAAATATACATTTTAACGAAAATCATGCAATGAACAAAATTATTAATTAAAATTTTAATAAATCGGTGTTTTTGTGTACTAGGAACAATATTAAGCTTGATCTGAAAATGAGGTTTTATCGTGCTCGAAATGAGCTTTAAAATGAGTATATCTATCTGTAAAATGAGTGAGCTATCATACAAATAAAAGACGCATACAATGTTTTTTTCATTTAAATCAAATAGTTTATGAGTGCCATTTCCACCAAAATTAAAAATAATCATATTTCATCTAGAATTAACTTGGTTTAAGAGATCTTGATGGATTCTAGAAAATACCACAACTTTACTACAAACGATTTTCAAAAAACTCATGATGTCATGAAAAAAAAATCCATTAAAAAAACATCATAAATCTCATTATTATATCTGTGAAAGAATAAAATATATGTACAAAGGTATATAGATGAAAATTCAAGGTCTCTTTCTGACTAATTATTGCTTTTTATTATTTTTCTGTTACACAAATATTGATAGAGTTATGATTGTCAAAAGAGTGCGCGGCTGTCCAACCAGAGTGTCTTTCGAGCCCTTTAACCCTTCACCGTTTCAAAATAAGAGAAGTTACGGTAAAATTTTTGATAGAGAAAGTTGTAGCTCATTTAATTATTTTTAAAATAGTAAATTACAAGTTCTGATGAAATCAGAATTAAAAGAGTTATAATCCAATAAATGTGGGGGGTGGTGACGGAGTGCAAATTGCTTTCACTTCAGAACTTAAAATTAAGATTAGCCTATTTTCAAAATATCAAATAATAATCGAAAAAGAGCAATATTATCTAGTTTTGTACATACATACATATAATAGTTATATGATATGTATATACTCGTATACAAAGAATTTGTTAAAGTTTAATAAGATACATGTTTAACTATTATGCATTGCATATTTTTGTTTAATTAGTTTTACTTGGTACAACCAGAAAATAAACTCAAACTACCTATAATTATTCATGTTTTGAAAATACATCTATACATAGTTTATTAATAAACAATTTTATCTCATTGTTCTCGCCTTTGTGCTGGAAGACAATAATGGATTTTCACAAAACAATTAGTTTGTTGCATTCCAAAACTATGTACGTACTCAATCACGCATCTATACTAGAACATTCGATATTTTGCATCTCAACACAAAGAGTATGGATAAAGACTGTCATACTTTCTGATTACACTAAATTACAATTGGAAATTTCATGATTCTGATCGTGCCAAAGCAAATTGCTGGAACTTTCCCGTTCAATATAAATTGATCAGTGAATTAAAATTATTAATTGAATCGTAAAACTATCATAGATTATTTACGTACCAATTTACGTACTGAAAAGTAGTTTTAGAATTTTGATTTTTTGGTTATAAATTTTCATTTTTAGATATGATTTATTAACTTCCCGTAGGGTAGGGTAAGTAATGGGCCGAAAATCGGAATTGAAAATTTTTCATTTCTCGACGTTTTGAAGGTTTCTGAACATTTTGGTATACCTCAGAAAAAATGGATGTGTGTGTGTGTGTGTGTATGTATGTATGGATACAAATTTCCAGTCACGTTTTCGGGCGCACGGATCAACCGATTTGAATGGTTCAAAAAACATTCGATTCCTATTCATAGGGAAAAGAGCTGATTAGTTTTTGGCAGAGGCAGGTCCAGCCGTTTCGGAGATACGGAGCAAAGAATGCAGAAAATAGAAATCGACTTTTTAAGAGAACGGAGTATCCGATTTGAATGATCTAAAAAACATTCAATTAGTTCAATTCAATTCACCCACCCCACTAGTTGCATTATGAATGCACTCTGTGACAAGACCGTGACAATATACGCTCATAATAGAGTCGATAGCTACTTTACAAATATAATGTCGATATACAACTCACGGGACCATACAAAATAATATAATATAACCGTAGTTGTGTTACAGGGCTCTGATTTAGGTCACTATGCAGTATACTTATGTATAATTAAGTCATATAATTGAGCCTGAAGATTCTTCAGTGCATAAAACTAGTAGCATATGCAAATGATGCAGTCATTGCTGTCAAAAACATTGGTCAGACTGTCAGTTTTTTTGACATAACTTTGGTAAACAATAATCGATGGGTGAAAACAATGAACCACCGATTGATACAACAAAAGAATGAATATGTTTGTATTACAGAGCAGAAAAGTAATACACATAATCAAGCTGAAAACTTCATATTTGTTATCTAGGTGTAATACTCGATTCTTCACCTAAACATTAATCAGCAGGTGAAACAGATTAGTGCCAAGTCATCAGTAATTAAGACGAGTCTGGCTCGGCTGATGGATAATGTTGGACAACCATAACAAAGCAGAAGGATATTACTATCTTTAGTGGTTACCCCTGTGTTGGTATATGGTATTTTCATATTGGCTGATGCAGTCAAGACTTTAATTTCGCGTAGAATGGTAGAACCCATATACCGCACAATATCGAAGGAAGCAGGCTGCATCTTTTCATAAACTTTGCCTCTCATAGTATTAGCGAAAAAAGACGGACAATTTACTAACAAAGAAATCAATAACTAAAACCAAAAAAGTTGAGCATAGAAAAATGACAGAACAGCATAGACCGATGGCAGCATAGACCACTATTGTGGGATGCCGCAGTGAAGAGCAAATGTTCGCATCGTCTCATTCCAAATATCAACTGACTGAGTCTGAGTCTGACTGAGGAAGTTAACTATTACACTACACAAATACTGTCTAGGCATGGCTGTTTCCGAGCCTACCTACGAAGATACTAAGATAAGGCAAATTGGGAGATACTAAGCACATGTTTTTTGGGTGCCCGCAGTTTAGTGCACTACGGGGCGGTTAAGTGATATTAAGCTCAAAGAATGAAGAGGAACGCCATGGACACATTTGTTACCAAATTTTTAATAAATTTGTAATATTCGGAAAGAAGAATAGCAAATGGCACTAATTAGGAAAAGGGTATAATTAAGAAAGATAATCATAATATTCTAGGCGTTTTTCGGGAGGCAAGAGATAAGTGAAGGTTTTAGTTGGAAATATACCCAGGCATACTCAGACAAAAGACCTAGTATGGTATCTCTAGAAAAAACACATACACACGTACATTTTTTCTAAAGTATGCCAAAATATTCAGAAACCTCTGCAAGATACGCAAAAACTAACGTTCTAGATTTTTGGACAATTACTATAATACGCTATAAGGCTATAAGATTTTGTACTGGTGATTCTTAGCGTGCTAAGTTTGAAAACTATAGTCTGGCCTGTTTCAACCCTGTACATCATGATTGCCCACGCTTTTGAAAGTTTAAAAAAAAAACGAAATCTAAACTTGTTTCTATAAGCTTCTTTGGTTTTCAAAGCGTGCAATGCCAGACGATTCTGTGAAAATTTAAAAATGAAATTATGGTGAGAAATGACTTAATTGAATGCAATAAATTATAAACATATCTTTTTTACAGTCACACTTACTCTACAAAAAATTAAATTAAATATGTTTATACTATCACTATATGTTTATAGTGAAATTAATCAAAAGAAAACGTCATGTTCTAGAATATAACATAGATACGAAACTCAGTTAGTTTACAATTTTGAATCAATTTATTGAATTGCAGATAAATTTAGTTTTACAATTTTAATAGATTTCTTGGAAAATAGAATTTAATTGCGAATTGTTTCCGTTTTATAACACTTATCCACTTACATTATCCTATATCTATTAGATTACAGATTGTATTCATTTTGTAAGCTATCAATTTTAGTGCTGGTTATAAGATATGCTAAAGCATGATATCTATGGGAGAGCTAAAAACTTATATAGTAATAGTGGTATAATATGTTTTTCAATAAAATGTTGAACGATATTAAAATGTTTTTCTTTGGTTTATTGATAATGTAAGCCGATCTGCATAATATTGGCTTACCTACTGTCTCGACGTAATATATAAACTGTGCAAGTCCGTCATTTTTGACAAGTAAAATAAAATTCACTATCATCAAATTAGTTATAGTATCTAAAGGAGCTAATTATAACATTTTTTTAAATGAATACCTTTATTTTGTAGAAAAATAAATAATGGATCTCCTAGCACCCCTATTTGAATTACCGGAGTTTTCAAAAAATATTCAGTTCAATAAGTTTGCAAATTTTAACAATAAGTTTTCCCGTCATCCAATTACTTATGATTAAAATTTAAAATACTGTACAGCAATCTCTATAAATTTATTATATAACTAAGATAATAAAAAGAAAATTATAATTATAATAAAATGGAAAATTATATTTAAAAATTCCTTAATAAAAAATGGTTTGTTATAAATATTTAGCAATTAAAGTTTATGCAATATTATATTATTAATTATTAGTTACCGTTTTTCTATTTCTAACTACAAAAAAACGGCATCAATTAATTCTATATTTTAAATCGACGAGTATTCAGAAGCAATTCAGAGAAAATGTGAGCAAAAACTTGGATTTGCTAATCAAGTATTATATCAATTTTATTAGTAATAGATATTAATATATTATGTGATGTCTTTTAATATTAATAAGTGTGTAGATAATTTTATCAAAAAAAAGCAATTATTAATTTCTTTTTGCGTCGCCAATCCTACTTAAAAATAATATAAAATACCTAGACGATGCTGCAAAATTTCAAGATACGAGTATATTCAATGGATTTGTTTGAATGATAATTGTTTTACTCGTATAACTTTGGAACTTGTACATATAAATATTTTATAGGTATAATTAAAAAGGCTTATTTTTGGATAAGTTCTTTTTCCCATTTTAATACTAGCTTACCGTGACCTTTTTAACCTAACATTTCTTGGGAGTCCATAATTTTGAGTCTGGATTTAAAAACATCGACTAATTTTGGGTTGGAATATTTTCTGACAACTGAATCGATGGCTGCGGCATTTTCACCAATTTCGTCTAAAATATCATCTGAATCCTTAATATCTTCATGCATGATAATTGGTTTTACGCATATTGTTGTATATACAGCTAAAATGTATAAAAAAATTTAATTAATAATAGAGATAGTAGTTGAATAACTTCTAGTTATAACTTCTAGTTTTAAGGTTTAAATAATTGTTTCAGCCTTTCGATAATTCCATTACTGCTAATAATTGGAAGAAAATTAATCAAAAAATATTTCATGAGATAAAAGATTGATTAACAGATTTATCTGTGATATAACGCATACATGTGTTATATCATAACAAGGAATTAATTCAAACAAGCAAACTAACTCATCAACGTAAAAATGATATCAAATTTTATATCAATATGATTCGTCGTAGTTAAAAATATATTTTTTTTAATATTATTCATTTTAAAATTAGCTAAGTATATTCATTATTTTCAATTTACAAAAAAATTAATACCTATATTTTAGAACAAAATTTTGATATGTATTTATTTTTTAGTTTACTTGACTAACAAGGCTTGACTTGACTTGAGTAAACAAACTATAGAATATGAGTCGATTTTTCTCAATTTAATATTAAAAATTAATGAAACATTCTGAGTGATTATTTTATATACTGCAATACAATTTTTCATTCACCCATAAAATTGCAAGTTTCCATTTCTTTCTCGAGCTCTTGGAGCGAGGGTATATAACCATCGTACTTCAGAGATTTTAAGGCTTCCGATAAATTACTATAATAGTATTGAATAAGTTCTTGTCTATTATTCCAAAATACATCTTCGTTGCATGATCCATAGATAAAATACAATAGATCAACTGCTGGAGATCCATAAAAGCAGCATTGAAAATCCACCTATACGTAAATAATACATTTTTACGAAAATAATATTTTTTTTAAATAATAAATTGCTATCATTTTGACATGTTTTATGTAGTGATATTCAGGAATAGTTTCATTGCTCACATTCCAAAAGGCATTTGTAATAACCTTTCCCCGAAACGACTCTACCGATTCTTATCAAATTAATATGCGTTTTAGTGGGTAGTGATAAGGGTTGTTTAGCCTTAATTTTTTTGGTAAGTTTTGCACAAATTTTGTTTTTATTTTTTTACAACGCGTCTTTAAAAAATACATACAACCTAAAATTTTTACCTTTTTATCACCAACCCCCGTTTTTTATAGCTTATATATAACTATAAAATTATTTGACATGATTTTAGTTAAGGTTTATTTGAGTTTATGATAATACTTAAATGTTACTTTAAGAAACAATTTAGTTTTATTAAAGGTTGTCTATCTATAACATTTTTTCAATTTTGACGTTAATTTTTTTTATTTAAGGATATTTCCCAATGCACACAAACAATACATAGTTGATGGTTTGCATAAAAAGAAATTTTTGCAAAGAAATGGGGAGATTGAATATTATAATTTGAAGATACTACAATTTTTGAAGGGGAACTATAGGTACCATAGTAATCTAGTCCACTATCCCAATTTTTTCCAATTTCATTGTCAGTCAATTCGCTGAACATGACACATAACAATATAATTTAAAAAAAAATATCGGATTTTGCTTAGAATTTTAAAAATTACTGAATGAAACACGCGGTAATAATATAATAATATAAAGCAATAAATGTGCCAATAAATCAGTTTTAGATTAAGTTGGCTCTTGCTAAGACAATGAATATGTAGGGTGTTCTATAGTGAGTAAAATATTTATATATTTTTTGTTAGCTGCTCCTTTCACTTTTGCATCACATTTGCAACAATCATTAGATATTTTCGTACTAAACATTTTATACTAAAAATATTTTTTATGACAAACAACGTTTGCCGGGTCAGCTAGTATATATATATACATCTAATATATAATTATATATAAATATATATATATATATACATCTAATATATAAGTATATATATATATTGATAAAATATTAGGCTAAAAAACCATAAAAAAAATATTATTCACCAGAACTACATCATCCACCTTGCCATCTTTGTAGCTGAACATCATATTATTAACCCATAAGTCACCGTGACTAACAACTTTGAATGGACAATCTTCTCTGTAAATGGATTTTATATTTGATGCTACTTTGTCTTTTAGGTTGATCTAAAAATGTCATTTTTCAAATCTCTTTCATTAATTTACTTCTTAAACAATATTGGTCAATAATTTTTTTTACTGGATTTTACTTACTAATTTATCTGCAATTAACGAATACTCTGAATTCCATTTTCTGGTTTGATTAGCAGCTGCTTCAAAACAAGTAGCAGCAAATTTCAGAAAAGGTTCATTTTTTGGAGTGAAAGGACATTCAGAAAACTGTTTATAGTTAGCTGGATTCTAGACAAAATCGATTGAAGTTTAGTTTCATCTATTTTTAACGAATTTCATGATAGCTTTTGTTGTGGTATTTCAATCTGAAAATTTTTTCGTTAAAGTTCTTTACCATATTTTTTATGATACAAAAATAAAAGATTCAGGCTTTTTACGTTATCTTCAATTACCTTCGAAGTATATTTAAAACTGATATCCAAGTGACGGAAATCAGATTAGGCAGACACATTTTAATTTCTATGAACTTATATATTTTGTATTTTCAGATTAAAATACAGGCTCACTAAATCTACTTGTTCAACTATCACAAGAAGAATATTCTAATAAGTAACAATATAATATATCCACAAAATAAATAGTTGTACTAGTGGTGTATGGCATCGTGCCTTATGGCAAATTGCAGGAACTTCCCGTACCGTAACGAAATGTTCGAAAAATATTAAATGTTTTCAAATAGATTATTTTAAACACTGTAATATGGTCTAATATTTATTTGTAAGAATTATATAAACTGAATTACAAAGTTAATTTTTTTTATTTAAAGTATATAAGTGATCTTTAGAACTATAGCCAGAATTAAAATTAAAATCTGAATTATTCTCGATAAACAAAAAAAATTGAAATAAAAAAAATCCAAAAACAATTGTTTTCCAACACACGCAAAATATTTATTAGATCATTCAAGGCGAATACTTCGATCTCTTAAAAACTCGGCTTCTATTTTTTGCACTCTTTGCATCGTGACTCTGTAATGGCTGGACCAAAAACTAATCAGCACATTTCTCTATCAAAAGGAATAGATTGCTTTTTGAATTTTTCAGATCGGTTTATCCATACGCCCAAAATCGTCTACTAAAAGTTGTCTCCGCACACACTCATCTTTGGGGCTGTGGAGAAACTGCTACCGAGTGCGTCTCCACGTGTGGATTGGAGACTCCGTGTTGCTGGTTCGCAAAGCTTGTTTAGCGATTAGGAATATAGGGTAGGGCAGGAGTAAATTAAAATAGCTCCCGTGTACAAAACTACCCTACATCTGGGTAGGGTTGGTCAATCCATCTGACCATGCATAGTGGAAGTAACGTTGTTTATGTCAATGATTATGGATAGGTATAAAGCAGAAACGTTTACAGTACAGAGGAAGAATACCTCAGTACCGGCGACCGAGGGTTTTCGAATGGGCTTGAAGTCGTCGTCATCATGCGACCGTTTGGACCGCGAAGTGGACCCCATGGCTACGCTGTCAAGAAATGGTACTGGAAGTACTAAAAAGGCATGAAAAATTAGAGGATGGAGACTTTGAAACGTCTTGAAACATCGCTCAACGTCTTCACAAGATGATTAAGTCGAAATTCAATATTCACATGGAGATAAATACAAAGACGAGTAGTGTCGCAACTGACAATCAGTGGTTGGAGAACCTACGGCACCCCACGTCAAAGCTAAGTGGTGGTGATCAAAGAATCAAGGGGCATCGGAGCCAAAGCCTACAATGAATCTGTTGCCGAAAATGTAACAAGAATCTTGGGCACTGGCAAAAGAAAAGACCGGTATTTTCTAGACCCAACATATGGTCAGGCGATAAAGAAAAACAACTTAAAACAAAGTCTGCCGCAGATTGTGGCAGAGCAGACCACCAAGCAGAATAAGGCAACTGATTGACATAAGGTCCAATCAAAAAAGCCAAAGAGCAAAACGCAAAGAAGAAGCCAAAGAAGTGCCGGCTGAAGCCCAAGAAAAAGAAAACGCAAAAATTTCTCAAACCGGACGTACTTTTGATTCGATCAGCAGAGAAGGCAAAGTATGCCGAGATTCTTTGTTGAAAAAAGAATGAGGTCTCAAAGGAGCAGGCTTGATCGATGATAGATAAGATCAACAAGACCAGGACCGGTGAAATTACAATTTTGAGAAAGTGCGCAGAAAAAGGCCAAGGATTGCAAAAGACAATTGCTAGCATTCTTAAGGATGACGCCAAAGTGACTTGCGGGGGACCACAGGTGACAATCAAAATTAGAGATATTAATGACAAAACAACGATGAAGAAGCCTGTAAAACACCAGCAGAGGCAGTCAAGATGCGTGAAGCCTACAGATGCACCCAAGTTACTACAGTAACTTTACCAGCGGCCAGTCGGCAAAATTGGGATTGGATGTGTGAACTGCCATATAAGAACCTAATAAGCCAATTCTGTGCTTAAAATTTTGGCTGTTTGGGCATTACGGATTCCAGTGCCAAAACCTCTTGACCGAGATGCAATAATAACAGCTTTAAAAACCATCATTAAGATAACGCCGTCACTAGTTCTATACGTCTACAACACATGCCTAAAAGAAAGGACTTTTCCCAGAGAGTGAAAACAACAACCACATGTACTTCTCCATAAGAGAAATAAACCACTAGAAGAACTGTCATCCTACCATCCACTCTGTTCAATACGGCTGGTAAAATATTCGAACGAATAATTCATCAAAGAATTGAAGTAATTGTTGATCTGCTTCTGGCAGACAACCAGTATAGATTTCGGAAAGGACGATCAACCCCGGACGCGATAAACCTAGTCGATACGGCCAAGAAAGCAATCGCAGGAACAAGATGGAAGAACAGTACAAAGGAGTATTGTTTAGTGGCCACACTAGATGTCAGGAACTCTTTCAAATGCGCGAACTGGGACTGCATTATGCAATTTCTTCAAGAAAACAACGTTCCAGATTGCATGTGTAAGGTAGCGGCACATGAAGAATGGTTCGAAAAATTATAATATCACCGGAGGTGTACCTCAAGGCTCAGGCCACTGTTGTGGAATGTTATGTACGACGGGCTTTTGCGACGAAAGATTTCAAGACGCGCCAAACTAGTGGCATATGCGGACGACGTAGCCGTAGTGCTCGTCGCGAAATATCTAGATTAAATACACCATTTGTTCAACGTAACCTTCGAGATAGTAAATCGCTGGATGGATACTGTTAATCTTCAACTAGCTAAACAGAAGACAGAAGCAGTACTCATCACCAGCAGAAAAATCAAAGAGACTATAAAGTTAAAAGTCGGTGAACAAGAAATCATATCACAACCTTACATTCGATACTTCGAAGTGATGCTTAATGCGCGACTAAATTTTAAAGAGCAGTTAAAACAAGTAAGCGACAAAGCATCAGTTGTGGGTTGTTGTCTTGCACGATTAATGTCTAATATCGGTGGACTAAAGCAGAGCAGAAGACTTATACTTTTATCAGTGGTTACCTCGGTGCTCGCTTATGGAGTACCTATTTGGGCAGATGCACTAGAGCTCCAAGAAGCATGGACAAAAGTTGGTCTTGTATACCATCTGAGTGCCTTACGAGTAATATGCGGCTTACAGACAATGAGGAAGCGGTGTCTGTTATTGCCGGGAATTTGCCTCCTAGAGTCTTAGCTCTAGGCTAAATTTTTTTGTAGATTTTTCTCGGTATTTCAATTGCCAGAATCCATAATTAGAGCATAATTCTTTTTTAAAGATTTTTGTGTATATAAAAATATAAATTTTAGTTATTCGATAATATTTAAATATTTAGATTTGCTAGTTTGAATTAGTATTATGCTTACATCTTCATAGAGGATTTTGCCAGCGGCATGTAATTTCGCCAATTTACTGAATACAAGTTTGCAATGATCCAAATCCAGCCCTTTCTTTCTGTCAGCTGATTTGTATCCGGATTCGTTTAGATCTTCTAATATAAAGCAAGCTGGTACACTTTTTCTATGGTAATATAAGCTAAAAAATAATATATATATATATATATATATATATATATATATATTTGTAGGTGTTACGACTACACAAGACTTAAACACACTGATATATATATATATATATATATATATATATATATATATATATATATAATTGTCTATTGTGATATAAGTTGAAAAGCTGCTATGATATAAACATGAAAAACTGTAATGTTAATTGTTAAATAAAACAATTATTTTAAAAATACAAATGAATAATTATTTGCTAATTTGAAACTAATCGCGACATTTTTGATCTTAAGATAAAAATATAAAATAAAATCTGTGTTTGGTATTTTTTAAGTTGAATTTGAATTTACATTGTACTCTGTTTTCACAAATTTTAAATTTACTTTCATGTACATTTTCCAGTTTTTCATTAAAAAAACATAGCCAATGATTTAATTACTAATTAATTACATTTACTATCACATTGAAGTGTATAATACAATTTTTAAACTTTTTGGCCGACTTACTCAGCGCTTAATTTCGATTTTGTTGCAGACATCTTTGACATCAACATTTTGGTGATATCTGGCATAAACTTTGCCAATGATAAAGTTTCGACATCAAAAAAATCAGATTCATCAAAAATTTCTTTTAATTTTCCTTCTTCGGCAAAACATTTTACAACAATAGATTTTTTTCTGTCATTTTCCAAATTTAAAAGCACACGATATATAGAACTCGTATAATTATCGCCTTTACCAACTGCCAATGATACTTCAAAGTTTGTTATTTTGTTCTCAATATTTAGTGAATTTTGGAAAAATGTGTTAGTAAAATATTTTGGATACTCTTTAGTACTATCAGACATGGTTGCTGAATAGGATCAGCTGAATAAAATCTGAAAAAATACAAGATGCGATTAAAATGTCTATTAATAATAATAATATATTGAAACTTTTAAAGTAATAAAAATTATATATTTACATATAAGTACAATGTTATCAGTATGAGTACATCAGTACAATGTCGTTCATAATAAAAAACAGCATTATGTTTAAAACAATTTTAACTTAATTTTAAATAATCACATTTGAGGTTAGTTGAAACAAAACCCTTAGATTAGTTTTAAATGCAATAATAGTGTTAGTGAAGAATATACAGATTCAAGTGAAACAGATTCTATGAAATGTATATTTGTGAACATGTGTCAATATATCTTTTATTGGTATTAATTGTTCAATTACAAAATAGGTGGTAATACAAGGGAAATGAAAATGCCAGGTTGTTTGTATTTTTCAGTAACGCATCATGAAAAATTAAATCAAAGTAATTGGTTGGACGATTTTAATTATAAATAAGTTTTTAACATCCCGTAGGGCAAGTTATAGTAATCGCAAAAAATCGGAAATAAAAGTTTTTATAAATAAAAACAAGTTAAAAAATGCCATTTAGCTGTCTATGATATTCATTGGACATATTTACCTAAAAATATCAGATATTTTATAGATTTTAATAATGTGTACACATTTTATGTAATTTTTTTGGGATCCGTACCAAAACTTTCAATTTTAAAATTCACGCACATGGTTCAAACAAATGCCCTCGACATTTGTATAAAATAACTGAATTGAATAATTTAAATACATTCGATTCATATTGATAAGAAGCCGTGCTGATTAGTTTTCAGATATAAGCAGGTCTAGCCGTTTCGAAGATACGGGGCAAAAAAAGCCAAAAATGGTAATTTACTTTTTGAGAGAACGAAGCGTCCGATTTGAATAATTCAAAAACAATTTTGTTTGTATTGACTAAACAAACAACTGTTTAAATTTTTGTGAAGGCAGGTCTAGTGGTTATGGAGATTTAATGAAAATAATAAAAAAATGCCATTTGGCGGTCAAAAATGATCATTAGAATGATCATTAACAAATTCAATTTTTCGAAATATTTCATCATTTTCAGGAAAAACTAAATTTTGAAAAATTTCAAAAATATCAAAATTGAAAAAAACTCGATTTCTTACAAAAATTTGAGAATATTTCGAAATATTCAAAAAAAAATCGAATAATTTCAAAAATTACCGAATTCTCAAAAAAAAATAGAAAAACGTTTTTTTTAAAAAAAAACTTCTAAAAAAATCAAATTAAAAAAAAATAACAAATTTCTTGCAAACATGCACGTAAGTTGTTATAAAATATGCTCAAAACATATGGATTTTAAATAAATTTCTAAAAACCATCACACTATTTTTATTGTCTTCTAACGCCTAGAAGATCTCACATATTTAATATGGCATCGGGCTTTGCATATATATATATATATATATATATATATATATATATATATATATTGTTGCGACCCAATGGTTTAACTATAACTAATATATTAATAACTATAATATACGCTGCGCATATATCAGATTCTCAGTTTCTCAACATTGAATTCATCCCAAGAACTGTTGTTACATTGTATTAAGTCATATCGAGTAACAAATTTTCTTCCTCTGGACTTCTGCGTAATTTGACGTGGAAATATCTTAACACTACCCCATGTTGACCACCGGGTTTTGAGATGCGCGGTTAAAATTTTGGTTTTGAGATGCCAAAATAGTGTCGTACAGGTAACGTAGTTGTAGATACAATCACTCCACTTCAAAATAGAAAATCCCCGTTTTTGACTATCAGGTTTTGAGAAACCGTGATTAAAATTTTGGTTTTGAGATACCAAAATAGTGTCGTACCAGGTAATAATTTTCAAACTAGAACTTTCCAGGGATCACCGCTGGCTCCAATTAATAAATGTCACCAAATATTATTAACACATTATTAAAAATACGCTCTTTCACAATTTTTATTTTTTTTCAAAAAAAAAAATTATAAAAAGTTTCAGAACCGCTGCCACCAAATAATATGTTGGGCGCCGATTAGCTCTTCTCTTCATCAACCAATTTCGTTAGATGTTATAGTAATATCATAATAATTTCAAATTTAACACAATATTTTTCATGTATACTTTTATTTTCCCGTTCATTAATACTCTGAGATGCTGTCGTCTATACGAAAATTACACAACTGCCTACATTAAGTTACATTTCGGCTTTATATAACCTTTTATTTAGAAGAGGGGCTTTACTTCTTTTAGGATATGATAAACTAAATTTTATTTATATGTGTGAGTACAAATTATGTGATTCCCCGATCGAAATTCATAGGAATTACTGCGTCGTATGCTGAGGATCACGTACGCATTAGGAAAAAGTTCATCGGTCCTAGTTTGATTATTTAATACTTTTGTTACTCGATATGACTTAATACAATGCGCTGATATATGCGCAGCGTATATTATAGTTAGTAATATATTAGTTATAGTTAAACCATTGGGTCGCAACAATATATATATATATATATATATATATATGTGTGCATACAAATGTAAACCATTGTATATATGTATGTATGTAAAAACGCATACCTTGCTCAAATCAATCCTATTTAAAACAACAAATCCAGCAGCGGTTAAAAATACTACGAACATGTATGTTCAACTAAATTACAAAGTAATATAAGTTATTTATTATCATATTTATCAACACGATAACTTTCCAAAAGATAGCTTCTTATATCTTAATATTTAGCAAGAATTGCATATCAAAACACTCTGTTCTTATATCACAACTCACTACTTTATACGTAAACCCTAATGTGTTATTAAATATTTCTTTTTGAGCAAGTCATCGCTGATTATAAATGTGTGAGATCATCTAGACGTCACGTGTTATAATTTATCTGTATTATATATTTTAATCAAAAACATTCCTCGGTCTAGTAATCGGAGTATATCCCAAATGTATAACCTATTAATATTATTATTATTATTATTAGAATTAATTTAAATGTTTATTTATATTTTTTTGAAAATTTTGAAATTTTTGAAAATGTTGGACTTTTTTAATTTTATAATTTAATTTAATTTAAATTAATTTCTTTTTCGATTTTTTTTTAATTTTTAATTTTTTCAAAGCAATTGAACTGCATGGCCTTAATAGTGACAATATATCGAAGCGCGTAAGCGCCGCGTGGTGGTTTAACGGTTAAACATTATAAAACTTGGTACAAAACCTATAGAAAAGCAAACAAAATGTATATAATAATAAAATATCTAATAATTTAATGTGCATCTCTCTAAATTAGAGAAGTGAAATGAAAAACGTAATAAAATGTCATTTGGCGGTCAAAAATGATTATTAGAGACTCTAATAATCATTTTTGACCGCCAAATGACATTTTATTACGTTTTTCATTGTATTTCCGAAACTAAGACGCCTTTCCAAAAATTTTACCAGTAGTTTATTTCGTCAATACTATTTTTAACGTTTTTTGCCCCGTATCTTCAAAACGGCACGTCTTCCCGTCAGTTGGAATCGAATGCTATTTTAATCATTCAAATTGGTTGATCCGTGTTCTCAAAATCATCGACAAAAAATTGTATCCGCACACTCATATGAATACACGCGCACACACAAATACATTCATTATTTCTAAGGTATGCTAAAATGTTCAAAAGACTTTAAAATGCTATTAAAAGTGCCTTAGGGAAAATTTCTGAAACTTCTGAAAAAATTATTTTAAATTAAAAAAAATGCCATTTGGCGGTCAAAAATGTTCATTAGACATATGCACACCAAATTATCAGATATTTTATATAGTTTTTAACAATAAGTATAAATTTTGTTTGCATTCCTATGGGTTCCGTACCAATGTTTATTCGTTACACGGTGACGCGGCGCTTACGCGCTTTGACATTTTGTGCTTATGCAGTTAAAGCAGTACGATTGCTTTGAAAAAAAGTTCAGAATTTTCAAAATATGTCAAAACAAAGAAAACATTTTTTTAAAAAAAAAACGCATTTCGCACAATATCGGAGGAAGTTTTTGAGCTTACCTACGCTGCTTCGAAGATGCTGAGCATGTGTTCTTTGTGTGCCCGCGTTTTGGTGTTCTACGGGACGATGTGGAAGAGACATTGAGACGCAGAATTACCTCAGGTAATGTTGTTGAAGTGATGCTGACAAGTTAAGCTGTTTGGGACGCCATAGACAGATTTGCGAGAGAGGTGCTAATTGACCTGCGTTCTATGGAAAGAGAAAGGGCAAATGGGACTTTTCCCTTATAACATTTATTATAACCACTTAAGAATTATAACATTCTAGATCCTCCCCCCACAAAGTAATGCCCTACGGCGATTTCCGTTGGGACCAGAGGCCAGGGCAAAGCGGAGGTTTTAGTCGGTATTATACCAGGGCGGTATTTAGTACCACATACCCAGACAAAACACCAGTCTGTGATGCATAAAAGCATTTTCTTCGCTATACAAAAAAACACACACATTTTTCCCAAATATGGTCTCATTCGATTCAGAGTGGCTTGAGAAGTCGAGAAAACATAAAATTAGCAAATTGGATTTTTTGATGAAAACATAAACTTCTCCTTTGAGAAGTTAATAAAACTTTCAATTAATATTCAATAAATTTCCGATTTCAAATATCGTTTACAAGAACTTTGGGGTATTTTTATTTTAAAATATTTATAGTAATAATAGTTAAAGGATTTTGAAATTGCGGGCTTCATAATTATGATAGTAAAGTAGTTGTAAGTGGCATTTTGCCTTGAAGCAAAAACTTCTCGATATGTTTAAATACACAATTTAGTCAATATTCATTTTATTTATATATGATCTTTCTGCCTACCTCACACAACAACAAACATCAACATCTTATCTTATAACACACAACACTTTTTTGGAAATAATCAAATAGCTTTGACAAGTTTCATTATCGAAAACTTAAATATTTATTTTAATAAAACTTTCA